CCCCCCCCCCCCCCCCCCCCCCCCCCCCCCCCCCCCCCCCCCCCCCCCCCCCCCCCCCCCCCCCCCCCCCCCCCCCCCCCCCCCCCCCCCCCCCCCCCCCCCCCCCCCCCCCCCCCCCCCCCCCCCCCCCCCCCCCCCCCCCCCCCCCCCCCCCCCCCCCCCCCCCCCCCCCCCCCCCCCCCCCCCCCCCCCCCCCCCCCCCCCCCCCCCCCCCCCCCCCCCCCCCCCCCCCCACACACACACACCTCCAGGCCAAGCACCAAATCACAATGACAAAAGACAATCCCTTTCAAGAATTACTAGCACCAATTTACATTTCCCACAATAATAAACATAAAAAAAGCTTTAATTTTGAAAGATTCAATAGACAATCAAGTGTGAATAAAAAAACAAGTAAATAATAAGACCATAAAATACAAATCGATATAAGCAAAGATAAATACCTAGGGCATGACGGAGGGCGACAAGGTTTCCATTCTCGGCGGCGTCAAAGAGGTTGAGGAGGTGAGGAGGGACGGAATTGGTGTCCTCAAACTCAAATTCCTGTTCGAAAAAAGCTTCTTCTGCTTCCTCTTCTCCATTCCTACCCCTTGGTATAGCCATCTCTCTTCTTTTGCTCAACAAACTGAAAAACCCTAACTTGGAATTGGAGAGGGCTTAAACCCTACTCTATGAGAAGCATTTACATTTTAGCCACTTTTGTGGCCAATATTTTATATTTTAGCCACAAATTAAAAAAATATTACAACTATAGCCACAATGGGAACATGACCGCTCCTCTTTTCTTCTATTCGGTGTTTAGTACCCACATTGGAGACGAGCTAAATTTGAATTCACGCCGAAAAGTCCTACATTGGGGGTAAATACTCCCTAACAAAGGCAACTCTGTAGTCAGGGAGTACTTGTTGGTTACCGCTCTTTTCTTCTTCTTTATGCTCAGACAAAGAAAATTACTTTCCTCGTCCCGATTTATGTGGTACAATTGGAATTTTGAGAGTCAATCAAGTTTTTGTTTGGTTTAATTTTTTGTATGTTTCTTTTAAATATTATAAATTGTTAGTTATTGTGATTTATAGTGTTTTTTTTTATAGTTCTCAAATATGTACGAATTTATGATCAAAATTTAAGAATTCAAATCTCAAGATTTTAACTATATCACGTAAATTGAGATACAGAGGGTAATCGAGAAGTTGTACTCATGTTCTCTTTGTGGTAATCTATATTGGCTATGTCAATATAAGTTTATAGATGTTGCAAGCAATTGTACCATAGGCTAGTGTCTCCCTCACTTTAGAAAGATGAAAGATCTTTGGTGAGCTCCACACTTTTGCTATTCGTGAGAGTGGGAATGGTAAAATCGAACACAATTCTTTTAATTTATTGAAGTTTGGACGAATTATTGAATCGTGACATGTCAATTATTTTTACACTGTTATCTTATCTTTTGTTTCATACATCTGGTTAATTTCAACCAATAT